AGGTATCATCCCCCCCCCCTCTCTCTCTGCTCTCTCCATCTCTCATGCTCTGGCGTGTTTTTTTTCCTAAGGGACGAAACTATGTTCTCTTGTTGCTATTGCTAGGTGTTTTTGTCTGCCATGTACGTACATACCTAGAGTAGTTGATTAGATGCAGAATTCTTTGTCAAAAAATATGCGATTTCCATTCTGCAGTGTTGAACTTGTTTTAGTGTTCGTGTCTGCTCTGTCAAAAAAATTGGGGAAAATCCTGCCAGTTAAGCTGGCTGATTAGTATATATTTAGTCATTTTTAGTGTTAATATATGTCACTCCGTGTGCATGATTTCTTCTCAACAAGTTCCAGAAACTTTGTGAAATACTATAATATACCACTTTTTATTCATGTATTAGAACTCTGTCCAAAGCTCAAAATACGAAAACAAATTGTTGTTTACTTGTGATGTTGATACAACTTTAATGGTCTGTGCAATTGGTGATTTTTTCAAAATGTTTTCTATTTCCATGGGGATAAATTTATCTTATGCCTTATGTTCATGCGATTCAGTTCATTTGTTTTGAGTTGCGCAGTAGGGCAAAGCCCCACACCCCCTGTTATATTTATTTAAATTAAGATTACAAGGCTACAAGTAGAAAATAAAATGCACATTAGAACTATACATGGAAGCAGGTGCCTTTGTGTTCTGGTAGTCCTTTAGAACTATATATGGAAACATAATCTTCCTTATCAAGACAAACATAATAGAAGCAGGTGCAGGAGCTGTAGTACTCCATTTGGAGACTTTAACTGGATCAGATTAGGTACTCCATTTGCTGTAGTACTCTAGTTAACTGAAACTAGTGACTCTGCTGCTGAAATTACCGTTGAAATCGAGGTAAAATCACTTTTGAACTGGGTGTAAAATCACTACTGTTGATATTCAAATTTAAACTTGAAAATGAAAATTGAATTGGAGAATTAAATCACTGTTTTTTAGTCCCCATTTCTGAACCTATGCTACCCTTGCAAGCAGCATAACAGGCAATGTACTCCAAAATACTATAAAAACTGGAGTAAAAGATGACTGCATCTCACAGAATATAAGAAATGGGGACTCTTGGCTAAGTATGGCAATGCCACAGAGTAATAGTTAATGGCCATACTAGGTGCGCCATTAGTAGGGGTTTTTCTAGTAGTGTGAGCTCGCATGACCAGGACCAACAGGTTACCGGGAGGGGACGCCAAACACAACTACCGCACCAGGCAGCCGCACCACTGAGCATCGCCAACACCGCGCGCCGGCGCCAACTTCAACTGCAAGTGGCCGAGCATGGACACCACTGACGATATCCGACAACCACCCCGTGCCAAGGCCTCGACCACCACTCCGCCGCACAAAGGTGGTGTCTTCAAGAAGAAAAACGACGCCGAAGCGCCGTCACCACCCAATCACCCGGGAGCGCCATCACCCGAGACGAGGAAGGAAGGGCGGGGGGGGGGTCTGAAGCCGCCTTCAAGAAGGGGAACGACGCCGGAGCGCCGCCGGCATTGTGGCCGCAGCGAACAGCTAAGGGGTTTCCCCCAATCCATCCCCCGAGAGGAAGCACCATCGCCAGATCTGCTCCAAGGGCAAACGGGGAAGCCCAGGAGCCAGCCACGCTCGCCGCCGATCCGCCGCCCACGTGGCCAGGAGCGGCGCTCCCCGCATCTGCATCAGCCACCCGCCGAAGGGGGGCCGACGCCACTCCACTAGTGGCCGCCACCACCACGCCAGGTGCAACAGCGCGGAACAAAGCACACCGAGCCCAACCCGTCGCCGCCAGGCACCGGCCCCGCCACCGCCGCCTGCCGCCGCGCCGTCACACCCTCGGCCAGCGCCACGCCGTCGCCCGCTGACCCCGGCCCGCGTCGGCCCTAGCGAGTAGGGGAAGAAGGCCCCGCCGTCGCCGAGGATGACCGGGCTTCGCCCGTCAGCGCGAGCCGGCGGTGGCGATGGAGGAGTCGAGGAGGAGGGGGGCCTGCGACCGGCGGCTAGGCTTTCCCCTCCGCGTCGCTCGCGGGAGCGACCGGGAGGGGAGGGGAGGGGGGTCGTCCACTAAATCTCAAAAGGCTCTCTCCTCTCGCGCGACCGCGTCGTCCCCGCGGGCGACCGGCCGCGCTCTGACGCCCCCTCCTCTAGAGCCCCCCTTCCCTCCCTCCCCGCCGCCGTCGCCGGCACCCGCGGCCGGGCCTGGCCCCTGGGTCGCTGGCGGCGGCGGCCTCCAGCCCTTCCCCTATCGGTGCTCCCCGGTGCGGGGCGATGTGCGCCGGGAGGTGCTCTTCGGCGGCGGCGGTCCGACGTGGCGGCGGAGATCCCGATGCGGCGTGGGTGGATGACTGGGCGACGGCGTCGCCGTTGGCGGCGGGGTGGCGCGGCGGCGTGGCTTGAACCAGCCCGCTCGGCCCAGATCTGGGCCCTTTGGGCCCCATCTGGGTTTGGGCGGGCCGGCGGCGTGGCCTCCAGGAGGCGGGAGAGCGGCGTTGGCGGCTGGGAGCGCGGGCGGTCGCCCGCGGGGACGACGCGGTCGCTCAGGCATAGTTCACCATCTTTCTGGTCCCGACAGGCGTGCTCCAACTCGAACCCTTCAAAGAAGATCTGGGTCGGCCAGCGGTGCGGCCCGTGAGGGCCTCCCGCTCGTCAGCTTCCTTGCGCATCCCAGGTTTTAGAACCCGTCGACTCGCACGCAAGTCAGACTCCTTGGTCCGTGTTTCAAAATGGGTCGGATGGGGAGCCCGCAGGCCGTTGCAGCGCAGTGCCCCGAGGGACACGCCTTTCGGCACGCGGTACCGGCCGTGCCGACGACGGCCACCGGGGCACCTACGCTGAACCTGCTCACTGGGACCAAGATATTTGACACCTCTGCTTTGACTTGTACTGCATAGAAACAAACTAGCCTCCTCTGCATACACTGCACTGACTGCCGATGGCAGAACGTGAGTGGAGTAGAGTCGTCGTATGGTTTGAACACATGCCTTAATTTCATACGGAATTGTCCGGGAAGGTTAGGCACCTGGATCTGGACGGACGCCACGGCGGGGGAGGGCATCACACTGCAGGTTATATATAGCATTTGAGGGAGGCAGTGAGCCATCACAGATCAGCTTTTCGCTGAGAAATTCCCCGACCAACTCGTCATCTTGCCTGGCTAGAGAGAGGATGGCGCTTGCTCCCCGGTCGTCTCTTCGCTCGCTGGTGCTGCTCATGTCGCACGGGAAGCCCCAGCTGAGCGCTTTTTTCTCCTCCGCCGCCACCACCGCCGCGCCCAAGGCCGCGAAGCCTCCAGCAGCTCCAGCCGGTGATAGTCCGGCCACCGACCCTCCAGCCGCTGCAGGTACAGATAAATGCCTTCATGCATATGCTCCCTGCTGTTGTTTGTGCTGTTGATCTCTGCTGATAGGTAATAATACTACATGATCCTGCAGCTTCGTCGTCTGGATCTGGCTCGACTCACAGCGCCCCTCTGGAATGCCCAAGCAGAAGATTTAGACATGTTGAACTTGAACCTGAACCTGAGGGCTCATATCACACACTTGGACATGAAACTGACAAGATTCCGCCTGGCGCCACCAAGGATCCGGAGGGCCCAATATCCGAGGGCTCATGCGGCACGCCTCAACCTGTATCGGACGATCCACAGCCTGGACCTCGCAAAGACCCGAGGCACAGAGTTCCTGAAGACCCGTAGGGCCTGTGCGATGCCGGAGAAGTTGAGATTTTTCTTGTGCTCATCACATCCAGATATAGCAATAGAATTATCCGTTAATTGTAATTGGCTCCTACACATCATGTATTCCCAAATTGTTAGCACCCGATCCCTTATGCATCTTATTTATTGATATTGATACTTTAGCTCAATCTCCCGATGCTCATTTCTTTCGCGGAAAGGCCAAACGCTATATGTTTAAATCGACCAACTCTTACAAGGTCATCCTTACATAGACTGGAAATTATGCACCAGTCTTTGGGTAAATCGACGATATCTTCCTCCTGGACTCGTCAACGGCGCGGCGTGAGCAAAGTTCGATGCCGTCTTTGGAACTCTGAAATACCATCAGAGCCATGGAAACATTGTTGACGCAGCGATCGGAAAATTATGTCGAAAACTAATCACAATATCTATCTTCCAAAAATCGCTAAAAAAGACAGTTGGCGGGTCTCTTTGTATGTCGTGTCCAGGAAGAGGAGCACTTGATGATTTATTCATTCTCTGGAACTAGAAGTAGAAATTGTTGTGGATATGTATCATGTAAAAACATCTTTTGAGGAATGGGTCAGATCCGACCATTTCTCAGAAGGGAGAATATCACATAAAAACCAACATTCAATTAAAACTTCGTGGAAATCACGTTTGTAAGTTTTAAAAGAATCTCAAAAAAATATGGGATGTTAAGAAGATGATGTTCTATTGCCATGCAAAATTCCAAGTTGAAACACATTACATAATGTGAGTTATGAGAAAACCAAATTCGACAATACAGAGTGAATGTTATTGTTCTGTATTGTTATTGTTCGACACTACTCAATGTTGATTTTGTTATTTTCATAGATCACATCCCGTAACATATATGCACTTGAAATTTCGCATGGAAACAGAACATCGCCCTCTTAACATTCTGTGTTTTTCTTTTCATTTTTTAAACTTCAAAACACCATTTTGACATGTATTTCACTAATTGTTGGTTTTCGTGTGATATTCTCCTTTTTTTAGGAAAACTAGCTAGGACCCTGATACTTCCACTTGGATCTGGAAGCTTCATGTTGATGTCACAATTTTGATATTCATATTGGTGACTTGAAGGAGATTTCTTGATAATTCTTTAGTGCTCATTTTCACGCAACTCTCCATTGTCTTGCTTACCAAATTCATCACTTCAGAAGAGCAGAGACCAGGCAACCCCTACCCTCCTCTATGCTGCGGATGTGACCACCACCGCCTAGGTAGACCATGAGTAGGGGAAACCTTATTCTTGATCCATACGCTGCCGCCATTGCACTGCAGCACCACTGCTGGGGAACGAAACTATTATCCTAAGAGACCTAATCACAACGCTGCAACGCAGATCAGGGCTCCCCACCCCTCCTGCCATTGGAGTGGCATGCAAAGGAGCACAGGACTCAAGGCCTCGTCGGGAGAGGGGGATGGCAGCTAGGTGATGCGCTTTGAGATCCGACTTTTGGAACTATGGAGACTCCCACAACTAAAGTTATGCCTTCAATAATTAAAGGTGCTTTTTATGTTCTAATCCTAACACCTTCTATTGATTGTTGCTAAAAAGCGAGGGCTTGGACACTCTGATTCTTAACAAGCTTCATGAACACATTAAGGTCAGTAAATCCAATATGGCTTATATCTAACTTATGTATAACATGTTGCCATTATTCGCCGTGCTATTTAGGTATGTGTTGTTAAAGCTCATGTGTGTTTTGAGAGAATAGGAAAACAATTATACATGACGCTATCCTTATTACGGGAGAAGTAAGTTTGTGAGTTACGACATATTTTCATGTTTTTTGTTAGATTTAGATATGGTGTTCAAATTAACATATCTCATTATTCATGTATAAGTGAAGAGTTTGGGATAACTTTGAGAGCTTTGACCCTCAGATGTTGGATACATACAAAATTTATGATCACTACAAGCATGAGTGACTTACTTATCTTTATCTTTGGAGGTTGTTAAATAAAATGTGATGTTTTGTCCTCGCAAAGCTCTACTTCCTCTGTAAACAAATACAAAAGACGTTGTAGGTCACTCAAGCCTTCTTTTGAAGGTCATAGAGGGAGTAGCATATTGCATTATAATTCCGTTTCTTCCGTTGCAACACACGGGCATGTTTGCAGTAGTTAAATAAAATAAGGTTCATGATTTTGAGTGTTTCTCCCTCATGACCCGCCTTCCTTACGACATTGCGCATCCGATTTGTGTACGACGGTGCCGATCACATCGTCCACGCCAGAGCTGGTCAAACGGGCCAACCCGGCACGACCCAACTATTATCGTGCCCTGGTGGGCTGTGCCGTGCCAGGCACATTTAGGCGGGCCAGGCTGTGCCGTGCCGGGCTGGCCCGTTTGGTCGTGTTGTGTCGGCCCACGTGTCGGGCCTGCCAGGGCACGATTAATAGTTGGGACGTGTCGTGCCGGCCCACATGCTGCATGCAGCAACCCTAGCATGGCATGGGAGGTAAGTGGGCCGGCCCGTGGAACGCTTAGGCACGCTGGCCCGTGTTGGCTTGATTTTTTTCCCGTGAAACACCTTCGAAAAACAGGATGGAAAAGCCAAAAAGATATTGAAAATTTAGAAATATTCGGTGAAGTATTATGTGGGATAAATCTAGAGTTTTATTAGCGCCTACACCATTAAACCTTCTGTCCCAAAGAAGTAAAAGAATACAAGACATGCTCTAGAATTACAAAAAAATTAAAAAAATACAAAAACTACACTATAACAGTACAACTACTCAGATCCAAGCACTACAAAAATACACAAGCGCTACAAAAATATTGAACATATTAGATTATCAGTTACTTCTATAGGACTCGTGTAAAAAAGGGTATTTATATTTTTTTGAAGGGTAAAAAAAGGGTATTTATATAGGACATATATATATATATATTAATATATTAAAAAAACAGGCTGTGCCGTGCCGGCCCGCGTGCCCAGCCTTCAGCCCAGGCATGGCCCATGGCGTGCTGCGTGCTGGGCCTGGCCCGTTTAAACCAAGCAGTGCCGTGGCTGGGCCGTGTCTTGCCTGCGTGCTACCGCGCCGGCCCAGTTAGCACGGCCCGTTTGGCCAGCTTTGGTCCACGCAAAGCACCGGAGAGCAGCACATCTATGAATTTCCCTAAAAAAAAAAGCACATCGATGAATTGGCCATCGTACAACTATCGTAGTTTCGCCCGTGAAACAACAGGACGAGCCCCGGTGCTGGCACGACCACGCTAGCTGCAGGCGGCCCGAGCTTCGACGACGGCGGAGCCTGCAGGCTTGCGAGGACAGGGCCAATGTGTGGCGGGGCCCAAGCAGCGGCAGCACCAGCGGGCCCCGTCGGCAGTCGGCGCGAAGCAGCGCCGCCGCTAGGTTCTCCGGCGAACAGGTACAAGCGCCATGTCTGTCTGCTTGATCTGTGGCGATCTTCCGCGGGGATTGGGCGAAATCTATCTGTAGGACATAGGCCTGAGGTGTAGAGACCCCCGACTCAGTTCGAGTTAATCTGTAGGGGATTTTTTTGGTGTTGAATTTATGTGCAGATATTTTTTTTTGGAAGATCCAGCAAATTGCTGGCTTGATTGATGATTAGCAGGAAGCAACGGAAGATAAAATGGTGGGGATCCTAAGATCAAGGATAAAAAGGAAACGAACTGAAAATAAAGAAAACTACAGCCCTATTGGCTGCCAGAGAATTAACAGTCTCTCATGGAGGTTCCCCAAAGGGGGTCTCAATGCATTTTGCTCCGGCTAGGCGCCATAGCTGGATTGCTCGTCTGATTGCGGCGACAACCTCGTGTGCGGAGGCGATCTTGCCCCTGAAAGCGCACTTGTTCCTTTCCTGCCAAATCTCCCATAGGACCAGCATTTGCATTCATGTGCAGATTCGAGCTTTGATTCTCATTCGGATCCAAAATCACCTTCTAAAAACATCTAAATCAATCTGATTGGACATTTGAGCCTTAATAATCCCTTGGATGGTGCTTACAGAGTTACTACTCAACAAAACTAAAAGAAAAAAAATTACACGAAATGCTATTGCAGCAAGAGAATATTACTGTTTGGAAATGCCAGTAACTGAATCCTAAAAGGAAAACACCATTACGTAGTTACATCACTTTTCTTCTTTAGTTGCGCTTCTGTTGCAAGTTGCCATCTTCCAAATCTTTGCTTCATCTGGCACGCATGTGTGAGGCCGCGTGCTTGATTCTAAGGATCTCAGTAGAAACTTGTCCCATATCTGGCCGGTCTTTTGGTGATGTCGTGGAGCAAGAGAGGCCGATTGCAATCAGTGGGATAACACAATTCTTCATCAGGTCAGCTGCATTCCTGTCATCTTGTAGCATTGTGGGATCAACAACCTCATGAATATTCTTTGTAAATGCTCTATCAACAAATTCATGAAGGCTTATACCATCACTGAATTTTTCCCCAGTTGGACTGCACCCTGTTATCAGTTGTAACAGAAGCACCCCAAAACTGTAGACATCACCCTTGGTTGATATTTGTCCGCTCATGCCGTACTCTGCATGGACATTCACAAACACAATAAAATTAGAGAATAATCATTATTTGTACAACTCTATAAACAGAATTAATATCATGTGAGAATAAGCTTATCTCACCTGGTGGGATGTATCCTATGGATCCTTTCAGGCGGCCTGAACTTGCTGAAATATCTTGATGTGCATTTGATGTACTGAACTCAAATCTTGCTAGGCCAAAGTCGATGACGTATGCAGCCATATCAAGACCCAAAAGAATATTGCTTGGCTTTACGTCGCAATGTATAATTGGCGATGCACACTGGTTGTGAAGATAATCCAAAGCAAATGCTACATCCAGGGCTACATTAATCCTTTGGCTCAATGACAGAGCATTTCTTTCACCATGTTCATGATCTTCCGGGTGTAGCCATAATCCTAGGTTCCCATTAGGCATGTACGGGAACACTAGGGCCTTGAAATCTGCCCCAGT